ACGTAAATTATGAATGGCAGCAAAACACAACTAAACAAATTCATAATTTCATAATTAAGTCAGTCAACTCATACTTCAAACCAAAATATTTCATGTTCATATATATCATACCAAAACCAGACAAAAATAGTAAACTAGAAATAAATATTCAATCATAAATCAAGCATTTGGCTCCAACAGCGGCTTTGCTGTCACCAGCAGCTAAAATGTAGTTTTAATATATTTTTAAGAAAAGTCCACCTCAAAACATCATCTGTGCAGTCAGCTCATTAAGATTACGATCCTTAAAATATAATTTTGCTGCAGTTTGATTCGTGCTGTCACTGGGAATTCCCAACAGCAGCTGCCTCAGGCTCCGTCACATCTTGGGGGGATTTATCACTAATGTTCGTGGCGGCTGGAAGTAGATGTTAACATTTTTCACATACGTAACACAAACTGAAAGCACCATTATTATTACAGCGAGCATATTTTGCTGAAAGGTTTCTACATTTTAATTTAATTTAGTCGTTAATAAACGGTCTCAGAGGAGCGATCATAGCAATGTGCATCAGCAGTGCTGTGTCTGTCTGGTTGATGTGGCGCGTCAAGCAGCAAAAGTTTAATTTTCCAGCAGCAGCTGCTGCCTGTGAATCACATCATGTACATTGTCATTGAATGCTCAGAAGTTTATGAGGCGCTGCTTCAGCTGCTCAGATGCATCAAGGTGCGCTGGTCCTGCTGCTCGAAACATAACCTTTTGATGCACTTTGATTTGATTTAAACATTGACTTTGCACTTAAAATTGCTGCTTTTTCTGCCCACAGCACATACAGTGTGAACGTAGCATTAGAGAAAGTGAATTGATAATATGTCCCTTAAACCAGGTAAATGTTAGGATCAAGTGTTTTCCTCAAAACTGTTTGCAGATCCATATATCAGTTTAGCAGAGCATCTGGATGAGGCATATGAATGAATGAGGTCTGTAAAAACACAGGAAGTTTTCCACATTAACACAGGATGTCGATGGTAGAGAGTGTGGCTGGAATTAACAAGACATCCTCACTCATCTGAATCTTTATGCAATTCTGACCTTTCAGAGGTGACATAAGTAGAAACAGGAATAATGTCAAACCGAATCCGTATGTTAGCTTCCTCGTTGCTTCCAGTGCTTGAATGGTAGTATGAGCTTTCTCTCAGCTGATTGATTAATTGTAGGAATGTCTGACTACTTCTAATGCTTGATTTTATACAAAGTGGTCTTAATGGTACTGATGAAACAGTCCAACCTAAACCACAGAAATTTCAGGAAAACAACTCCAATAAGAAGGGGGTTGGACCATCTGTTCCCTCATCCTACCCTAAAAATAGACTCAAAAAGAAAGCAATCCAAAACATACCAGTGAACCCAGCAAAAATGTTCTGAGAATTAAGAGAAGGAAAGTCCTGGGCAGTGTCAAAGCCCAGATTATTTAGCTTGTTTGTATTCAGAAATTGTACAGAAACTGTAGGGGGTTGTGACTTCAGTCAGGAGTCTGAGATCATTTCCTTTGAAAAACAAGAATAATCTTTAAAAGATCAAACTTAGAGTGGGCTCTGAAATTAATCTGAAATATTCCCAATATTGTTCAAAGGGGATTTTGATGCCCAAACATGCTATGATTTCACTCTATATCACTCTCCAATAAGGTGATTGCTGTAGAAAGCACATAAATATATGGGTAAAGTCTCTAGTTAGTCCACACCCCCTCCAGCATTTAGCATCCTAAAGAACCTCACTTTGATTTTCCAATCAATTTCTCTGAAACTTGTAGTACGTGATAGTTTATTTCATCCAGAATAATCTCCTCCCAATCCTCAACTATAATTATTCAAAAGTATCCCATTCCTTATGTTGTGTAAATAGTGTCTCAGTTGTAAATATTTGTATAGGTTATATGTCAGGAGATTATATATTTGTTCAAGTTGCTCAGAAGTAGGAAAAAAGAAAGGAAGAGCCATGGTTAATTTATATAGCTCTAAATAAAAAGCTTAATAAGTTTAATGTCTTTTTAATCTTTGACCATGCCAATATGGTGGACTTAACCCATTTTTATCCATTTTACCCTTTGACCATTTATTTTGTTTTACTAAAGGGTTAGTATGAGGAATATACCCTGGAGGTCATCCTGTTCCAATGAATCAATGAGACCATTGACCTAATTTGGGCTGTCCGATAACATTTTTTAAAGTTTGGTAAAGGGGGTTGTTTTTTAACTTTTTTGGAATGATTAGGACCTGGATGACTGAGAATCTTCACCAGCATAAGAGCTTTTAATTTAATTATTGGGCAATTGTTTTACCAAATAGATTTAATGAGCCATTTATTTAGTGTGGGAAAATATAGATATAGGTAGTTGTATGAGGAAGGATGGAAGGATGTTCATTTTAATGATGACAATCCTCAGAAAATGGAAGATGGATGGATAGATAGATAGATAGATAGATAGATAGATAGATAGATAGATAGATAGATAGATAGATAGATAGATAGATAGATAGATAGATAGAAAGAGGGACAGACGGAAGTATAAATACGTGGTGTCAGGATGTCATCAGCAAACAGTGAAAGTTTGTCTTCCCTGTAATTTTTTTCCCTATTGACTTTGATTTCCTTGTTCCTTCAAATTGATGCTACTAATGTTTCAATATTTAGAGCAAAGAGTAAGAAAGTCTCCGTGACATACATCTCTTTCAAACATGAAAACTAATCAGTATTGATTGTTGATTGGTTCCTTTGGCCTTTGTTTTGACATTTATAAGATTCTTCTTATGTCATTAACGCCGTGCAAATTTGGAGTGAACCCCATCTTGTCTGGTTAAATTAGCTTTTTCTTATCTTTCCGGATTCCTTTTAGCTAATTTACTGTTCAGGAGTTTGAGGTCTGTAAAACAGAGCAATTGGCCTGTATCCCTAACGGACACGGAAGGCAGTGGTGGCCTAGTGGTAAGGGCATTGAGTTTGGAATCCTGAGGTTCTGAGTTCAAGCCCCACGCCCACAGACTGCCACTCTGGGTCCCTGTGCAAAGACCCTTAACCCCACAATGCTCCCTGGGCGCCGCACAATGGCAGCCCACTGCTCCCCAAGGGGATCGGTTAAATGCAGAGAATTAATTTCGTTTCTCCCTACCTTTGACAGTGTAATGACAATAAAACGTTGAAAAAAAGAAATATGGAAAGATTGTAACATCTTTCTGGATAACTGAAATAGGCAAGAATTGGACCAATAATCTAATGTTTCATCCCCTTTGAGTGAAAGGTCAGTGTTGATGCAATGTCTTTGAATCGTTTGATGTATAAAGAATAAACCTAACAGAGATGATTTTAAAGATTTTTTTAAGAAGGGGGATGCCGTCCCCCTTCATCCCCCCTCAGCTGAAGTACTGCCTATCTTTCTCTCTACCTTTGATGTTCTAAATGCATAGATTGTTGCATTTCCATCTTTACTCAAGTTTCTCACATTTAGCTGAGAGTTTAGTTATTACACAACATTTGAAGAGCCGGAGGTACTCAGTTTCATTCACTCTTTGCTTGGTTTCCGTTATTTTTTTGTTCAAGTTTTATCATTCAGTCAATGATGTCTTTTAATTATGTTGTAAACCTGGACGGTGTAACTTGAGTATTTTTTGAGATTCAGTGTCCTCATTTCTCTGTTTTTTTTTAGATCTGTAACTACTGTGTACATGTTTTCTCTATGTTCATTCATAACTGGAATGTCTTTGGCATGTTGGCAGACTTCTTTCTTTATGGTTGATGTATTTTTATTATCAACTTCTTTTCTGATAGTAGACATTTTGAAAAAACAGCAGAATATGTTTTATATTTTGCAAAATGGGCTAGTTTCAGGGTCTTGGAGTAGAAGAATCAAGCTGCTTCTCCCTTCATGACATCACTGGAAAATAAAATTGGGGTTAAATGGGATGACTTGAAACAGGGGGTAGATGCAGGAACCACTCCGATTACACAGATGAAAGTGAGGAGAAAGAGAAATTTGCTCAGGTCGATGGCAAAACCTTTTAGAAAGTTAGAAGAATTTAAAGATATCAGCTAAAGAGAGTAAAGGAACAGGTATTTGCTTTCTGTTTGGTTAGAAACCAAATTTATGTTGATATATTTTGGTTTAATTAGAAAAACAAAGTTATTTTTGTGCTTTTACTGTCGTCAATTATAAAAAAAAAAAAATATTTGGAAATTACAGAAAATGAATATTTCTCTTATGAGTCATGTAAGAGTGAATATTTAATAGGATGTTACTTTCCACATTAAAAGGATCATATGAATCTCCTTTCTTCTGTTCTAGATACAGTTTCTCTCCCTGAGCTGCAGCTCATCTGTCAGTACCTGAAGGACCTCCGAGCACATCTTCTGTCTGTGCAGAAGGAGAGCGAGCTGCTGGACCAGTGGTGTCACGTGGGATACGTCCTTGACTTCCTGCTGTTTCGTATCTACTTGCTTCTGATCAGCTGCTACGCCATGGTCATCATTACTATGTGGTGCATCTGGATCAGCCAATCTTAACTGAATGTGGTTCATATTATTATTGAGCTATTTTTCTGTCCTGTTTGCTTGCAAAAGAAGAGCTTTTTAAAGTTTTTTAAATGTTTTCTTTTTTACTATTGAGTTAGAATATGTCCAGTGCATTCATAGTTGCCACGTTAATGTTATAAGAATTATTACTATTAAACTAGTTTTCTGTGGTTGAAATCTTGTTCATATTTTTCCCCCATAATCAACTGTTTAAAAATTTCTACCAGAAAATTCAAGTTGACAGATGGTTGACTTTATTTTCTCTTTATTTATTTGTTTTAATCTCTATTTTAGCAAAAATTATGGGATGCATAACATCATTATGGAATACTGACAATGTCAAAGATAAATGGCATGTTAACATGTTTATTATTATTTGCTGTTGATTGACATTGATTATTGCAATATGAAATAAAAAGTCAGTACTATAAGAATCCTGTTTTGTTTTTTGTATGTGTGCATTAATGCGATCCCTGTAGGATGGTGTATTCGTGTAGATCCTACTGTGTCTACTTTGCATGTTTTATATTTACTTTGCAAGTTTGTATATTTATTTATTAAAGGGAAGCAGTGTGCAGCTTGAGTTAGTTTGTGGTTGATTCATATCACGCAACGGGGCCCAGGAATGATTCAAGAACCAGTTGCAAATCCAAACAGTATCTTTATACAAACACGACCATAACATCTCCGCTTGCAACTACAAAAGCACCTAATGAGCTCAAGTCATGCACCAGTGTCTCAGTCGACTAACCTTACCAAAAGTCAATATTAGCTGCTGGAGGAGGTATGAGATGAAATCATGTGATGAGAGCAGAGGTGCCTTCATTCGATGAGCTACCTTTTAGAATTACAACCATCACAATCGAAGGAACTTCATGTAAAATTATGAGGATGTTTAATATCAAGCATTTGGAGCAAATCCTCATCTTTTTCACACTGTTTCATGGTAAGGGGAAAACATTTTTAAATATATCTTTTATAAGACATTTTGTGTAATATTTCCATTTTTAATGTGGTCTTATTAATCTTAAACTAATAAACCAATGTAAGGAGAATATGTTTTTACTTTTTTAACTCACAAAATGTTATGAAAGTTTACACCACACGCTCTTATTTTGTTTTTGTTTTTATGGTGTTTACCACTTTTATGCTCATTTCTCTTGGAGATGACCTGATAGAGAACTGTATTAATTCTAAATTTGTCTTCTTTTCGTTTTCTGTCTCTGTTCCAAAGGTCGTGTTGCAGTTTTGAACTGCACCAGTCCGACCCCAGACTCCCTGTATGCAGAGCTTGATAAACACTTGTTCCCCAGAAAACTCATCCCCCCCAAACAAAACTTTTCAGAAGTGCTCAGGATAAATGTCAGCATCACTGTGGTCGGGATTTTAGGAGTGGTGAGTCTAAACAACTTTTTTAATCGAATATGTTTTTGGTGATAATGAAAATGGGTGGGTTTTCGGTGGCAGAGGAGGCGTTAATAACGTTGGGATGCTAACTTTCCTAGAAAAAATAATTTGTTCATTCAAACAAATGTTTTGTTTTGGATTCAATGATTAAATGGCATCTAGCAGTGATCATATTTTTGATTCATAATCAGCTTATCATGATTTAAATTTTTTTTTTTTTTTTCAGGATGAAAAATCTCAAACAGTATCAACTTTCTTATGGGAGGTCCTGGTAAGAAGACTTAGACTGTATACACAATTGTAAACAAAAAGAAATGTCGTTAAGAAGAGCTCCCTAGACTATTTAATTGTTTTAAAGTGCAGCCTTGATAGGGTTAACAGCAGTGATAAAAACACTGTGATGAAAAACAGTAATGTAAACATATGACTGTATAGTTACAGTTTTTGTTTGTGTTTTTTTTTAGAAAACAATTAACTTATCTGTACAATATTCAAATCAGTGTTTATAATTGTTTTTTTTTTCTCTTAATGGAATGTTGGCAAATGAGGTTCTCAATAAAAATGTTTAAGTTAATTTAAATAAATACTTGCAAATGGACCTATGATTTGTAGTGCCATTACGGAGCAGGTTTTGTTCTACTTTTGTTTTCGTTTTATTTTGAAATAGGAGTGGAATATAGCAGGACTCAGCTGGGATGAGGAGACATGTGGAGCAGAAAAAGTATCTGTGCCTCGGGAAAAACTGTGGATTCCAGATGTGCATATTGCAGAGTTGTAGGTCTACACTATTCTTATTGCTTGGTGGTGTTTATAGAGAAATGTCATTGTATAACAATTAATATCTATTCATTTATAAACTTTCTAATGATAATTAGGTAAAAAAATATAAATAAATTTTTTTAAATGATAAGAAAAAACCTTTAATGTATCTCCAACTGGTAAATTGTTGCTTTCTTTTATTCCTCATTTCAGCATGAATGAAGACAAATCTCCTACGACTCCTTATGTTTACTTATACAATACAGGTGATGTTTATGATGATAGGCCTATCAGAGTGGTCAGCTCCTGCAAGTTAGAAATCTACACTTTTCCCTTTGATGTCCAGAAATGCTCGCTGACGTTTGGATCATATTTACACTTCGGTGAGACTGATATACAACATTTCTGTTAGAAAAGCCTAATATTTGAACTGTGATGTCTTTTTTGTTTAATTATATTCATATCTTAAAGAAACCTTTTTCTTTTTAATAAAACAATATATTCACAGTACATGTTGAGAGTGGCAGAGGTAGTCACTTTTCTCAGTTAGATAACTGACTGACCCTAATCCTGTGAAAATGTTTTTAAAGACACGGACATACAGCTGTTTCCAAGCACGACAGCAGAAAAGATTTTAAAGGAGTCCAGGAATGTGCTAAAGACAAACGGAGAATGGGAGCTCTCCAAAATAACCATGACTCAGCATAACCTGACATTAGACAGCATATCTTACTCTGAGGTCATATTTAATGTAAGTTACATTTTTGAATTTGTTCACATAATAAGCTAATGTGGTTGTGATTCCATGAAAATGTGTGCGTATTGAAAATGCAGTTATATTAGTTTTAAGCAATAACATGCATCTTCTTGTAACATGTGTATTGAAAAGAGACACCGTCTGATTAAAATGTCATTTTTGTTTCATTGCATTTAGATTTATCTTTGTGTCAAATATTTTACTTGTACAAGTGCATTGTAAAAAATATATATAATTACAGATAGGTATATCAATAAAAGATTCTATAGCATAGTGTAGTACTACCTGGCTAAGCACACTACAGTAAAGAAATGTGTAGTATAGTAAGGCATAATATAGTATAGTATAGTATAGTATAGTATAGTATAGTATAGTATAGTATAGTATAGTATAGTATAGTATAGTATAGTATAGTATAGTATAGCATTGTGTATTTTATTGTAGTATGGTATATTGTTGTATAGTATTGTATAGTATTTTATAGTTTATTGTGGAATGGTATAGTATAGTATGATATGGTATAGTATAGTATAGTATGGTATACTATAGTATTGCATAGTATAATATAGTATAGTATAGTTTAATATAGTATAGTATAGTATAGTATAGTATAGTATAGTATAGTATAGTATAGTATAGTATAGTATAGTATAGTATAGTATA